TAGGAATTTGCATAAGGAAGAGCCTTTTAAAATACAGTGTATGATGTCCGCAGTATGTGTTTTACATATTTTACAATCTATCAATTAATCCAATGTTGTACCGTTTTTTATTGGTCCAAATAATGTTGTGGACAATCCTGAAGTCATTATCAACCATATCACAACCTTTATTAGAATAAAAAACGGAATTCCAGTATTGATCTAGGGAAAAGGAGTTACCTATTGGTAAATTTTTTTTCCAAAATAATAGCGAGGTAGATTCTTGGTATAGAGCTTCGCTCAATAATTGGTAAAAAAAAACCTGGATGTTTTATGGGTTAGGTCTGTGGGTTTGCCATTTACAATAAAAATAGGCCCTGCCCTCTTGGCCTGGGGAACAAATGTTTCTAAAAAGGGTGGCCAAGTAGTATGCATACATTGCAACACTCTCTGATGATATTTTACGAGAAATAGTGTTTTTCTTTTGCTAAATATTACTAAAAAATGGATTCTCCATCAGATACTGTTAAGAATTGCAAGCGTGTACCCATTACTTTACAAATATCTGAAATCGTGATAAGTCCTGAAGTAATAAAATCATATTTATAGTAATATTGTTTGTCTAAAATAATATTTATATTATTAAAAAGGGGTTGATTTAGGATATTACTAAGATTCTCTTCAATAGAAAAGCTATCGATGTTGGTGAAATGGTGCCATGATATTAAAATGTCTCTACAGAATATCGGCAGTTTATTTAATTCCTTTTGTGTATATTGTACAAAAAACAAGGGGTCTTAATTATCATGTCTGCGAAAATTATACGAGAGGAAATTCTTCCAAATATGATTTGTCGAAGTATCTAGGTATATGCTTAACCAATATAATCGGAATGCTTCTTTTTGCAATCTAATAGCCGGAATGTTTAACCCACCTTTATTAAATGGCCCCTGTATTGTATTAAATTCTATCAGTGGTTTACCAAACTATAGAAAATCTTAAATTAATTTGTTTATTTTGGATTCTGCCCATTGTGGTAGTTCGATTACTCTGAGGTGGTACCATAACATTGACAGACACAATGCATCTATGACGACAGGTTTACTTTTAAGACTAAGCTGTCTCTGTCTCCACAAATTAATTATGTTTGTTATTTTGCGAATTCGTGGTAGCCAGTTTAAATTTTCTGTGTGCTATTTATTTGTGCCAATATAAATTCCCAAAATCTGTATAGAATGTTCGACAATTTTGAGGGGTAGGCCTTGAAGAGTATCGTCGTATGTTGCGGAACCACATAAAAGCACTTCCGATTTACTGGTAATGATTTTTGCACCAGAACCATTACAATATATATCAATGGTTTTGAGGGCCGCCAAGATAGCGTTCGTTGAGTTTAGAGTAAGGGTGGTATCATCGGCATGTTGGAATACAACGGATGTTAAATTACTAAAGGGTTCTGGTATACCAACAATTTTGTGATTTAGCATCAGTAATTGGTTTAATGGTTCGGCTGTTAAAAGGTAAAGTAAGCCAGAAATGGGACAGCCTTGTCTAACACCCTTACAAATTGGGAAAGAGCGAGAGATATGGCCGTTGACTTTGACCGAGCTGCGAATATTTTTGTACAAAAGTTCAACATATTTTGAGAAATAGTTCCCGAATCCAAATTGCTTAAGAATCGCAAAGAGATATTTAGTGTGAACTCTATTATATGCAGAGGCTGCGTCTAATTTAGAACGTATAGTGGTTTTTGTTCCTGATCACAATAGTCTACCGCAGATTGTACGTTGAGGATGTTGTGGGCAATATCACGGTTCGGAATATTTGCACTTTGTTCTGGTGAGACTAGGTTACCGATGATAGATCTTAAAAGTAGGGCTAATGTCTGTGATAATATTTTATAATCCACGTTTAAGAGGCTAATTGGTCTCCAGTTTTTCAGATCGGATTTTCCGTTTTTATATTTATATTCATACTTCTGGACATTTCGTTTTGTTTTTGTATTTCTTGTACCGCTTTAAGGAACAAAGGGCCAAGAATATCCCAAAATGCAATATAAAATTCGACTGTCAGGCCATCGGGTCCTGGTGATTTGCCTTTTGCCATTCCATTAGAGTTCACCTAAGTTAATCTCTTGTTCGCATGATTCTGAATCTTCGTGGGATAATTTTGTATTTAGTGCACTGAAAAGTATGTTTTTAGATTCGAGGTCTACTTTTTCCTCAGAATATAGCTTTGGATAATAAGCAGCGGTCTCTTGGATCATGTCCATGTTTTCTGTAATGGATTTACCATCACTATTTTTGATCTTTTGGATCGAATTAGAATTTTGTCGTGACTTTTCCAAATTAATAAAATATTTTGTGCATCTATTCGACTCAGTTTATTGGGCCTTAGATCTTATAATTGCGCCGTCACATTTCTATTTTTCGTAAAGTTCTAACTTACTCTCTATAGTTCTGTTATTTTAGAAACATCGTAATTACTATTTTTACCAGCTTAGTTATAGTGATAATTTAAGTTTTTTTGGAGATACCAATATTCTTTTTTTCTTTGGATTTAGTTCTTTTCGCGTATAATTTGCTGAATTTTTTAATTTTGAAGTTATCCCACCATATTAATCGATCAGTTTCCGAAATAGGTTCTTTTGTTGCTTCAGAAATAAGTGAGCGAATTTGAGTGCAATAAGTACAATTGGCTAAGTATGTATTATTGAATACCCACATTCCGGGCCCACGTTCTACTGTATTGGTATGCATATTCATATTAACTAAACTATGGTCGCTTAAAGAAGTGTGTGTAATATAACAATGTGAAATGAGAGTAAGTAATGATTTCGTAATGAAAATGTAGTCTATGCGAGATTGTTTTAGGACGTTTTTCACAATTTGGTTCCTTGTGAACATCTTTATATCGGGGTTTTTGTATTTCCATATGTCAATTAAATCGTTTCTATCGACAAAATCAAAAAGTAATCTGCTATTATCGTTAGCAGTTTTCATAGTTGCAGACCGATCCTCAAAGGAATTAATTACATCGTTGTAATCACCACAGAGTACTACATTTTCTTTGTCCTTAATTATATTTGTTATTTTGTTTAAAAAAAACATTTCCTCGCTTTTGGATTATTAGGAATATTTCAACAAATCGACCTTCATAATCATCTAGGGAGGAAACACTTACATTATTCTTAAAATTATTTGATATGAGAATAGCACAACCTTTATAGCCGTCATGGCTACAAGAATATATTATTTTACCATCCCATATGTGTTCGTATTGGGAAATAAACTGTTCATTCCAATGAGTTTCTTGTAGAAATATAAGGTCGAAGTGTTCTGCATTAAATTTAGAAATTAAGTTTTGAAATTTTTTGATTGACTTAAGGCCTTGGCAATTAAGTGTTAAAATTCGAAGCCTGAATATAAAAATTAGAGTTGGAAAAGGGACCATGATTATACTTAACTAGGGGTAGGTGAGGATTGACTGTCTTTAATTAAAATAGCTTCTTGAAAAGCTCTGTCGTTATCTTCAGGCGGTAAATCAGTACAAGAGTCATTAGGAATAGAATTGGTTGGTGTTTCTGCCTTCTTGGTTTAAAAGTTGGTGACTTTATTTAGTCGGGCCATTTTAAGAGCACGACCTTGTTGTGGGGTAGAGAGGGTTTCTTTATCTGGGCTAACAGTCGACGACATGGATCTCTTATACGCCTGGTTATTTTCGGTAATAGTACAGAAATTAAAAAAGCTGTCAATATATTTTCTAATAACGTTTTCATTAGAGTCGGAAATGTCACTTTCTGGTAGGGTGGTCATTACAGGAAGGGTTTTTTTGGATGGGGTTGATGTCTGTGGAATTATTATCTTCTTTAGCGTTTGTAGACAGGTTGGAAAGAGCACCCAAACTACCGTTATTTTCTGATGACATCTTCGCACTTGTGTTCTCGTTGTTATCACAGTTTGTTAACTGTTCACATTCTGTCAAGGTCACAGTTGTTGTTATATCTGATGTTTTGTCAACACATATTCTAATTAGAATTAGACCCAACTTTCGTTTCGCTTTTTTATTAGCTTTTTTTATTTTTAAAATAAAACTAAAAATGTAAACTGATAAAAAAAAACGAAACAAGGGTTAAATTTTATTTGGACTGTTTTGAAACGCACATAGAAGCGTTTTTAATAATTACTGAATTAAATGGATAATATATATTATCATCTAATAGAGATTCTATTCTTTGGTCATGGCACCTGATGAATATTTACTCTTATTTTATGTCCAGTAAAGGTATTATTCTTCTCAGAACCTTTTAGCTCCTGTACATTTTTAACAAAACACGATTCAGTTCTGAAGTTGAAATGACTTGAAAAAGGCCCAGCACCTGATCATTAGTGAGACTAATACAAATTTTAAATATAAAAATCGATGATCTGCTATTTACTTCATACTTGAAATTCCTGTCATGGTTTTTATCCGTGTATTGTACAAATATTAGTTATTAGTTACATCAATTCACTGATAAGAGATAGGAAATGTTTCATTGCATTGACTATTTTATGGCACAATGACATACTGGAGTTATGATAACAATATTCGGTTAATGCCATTATTGAAACGGATAAGGTTCTGCTCATGCGAAAACCAAATGAATAATTGAAGAGCTGCTCCAAAGACAATAGTCAGAAATAGAACATGTTTTTCAACGCCGCTGCATTATTCTATTTTTAAATATTTCATTTTTTCTTAAAATCAAAGCAATTTAAAACTTAAATTGTTGCAATTTAGCCTTCCTAAATAACAATGTTTTGATTTTATATCTATTAAGAATTTTGAATTTTTTTTCATATTTTAAAGTTCCAACTATGGCCCGTTACAGCTGTTAAAATTTGTCATTGTAAATTTTCCATATTGGCTTCAATAATGGAAAATACCGAGAAAACAATTATTATGATGATTTGATCTTGAAGTTGAACATATAACATATTATTACAGTGTCATTTTCTTGCCTATAAATTCTTTCAGGACTACAAAACTCGGCGGCATCATGTTATATAGTAGTTATAATAGATTTGATATCGGCGGCTGTGGTAGGATTGATCGGGTTAATAAAGAAACAAGTTGCTAGTTGTATGGTGACTGGAGTATTATACTGTATGGCTGGTAAGCAGTTTTTTTCTTGTTTAATGTTAAATGCTGCATTACCACATGAGAACGGGTTCGAATCTGGCATAACAGTCTGCTTGCAACTATTAAAGGCAGTTTCATAATTTACTTTCTAAAATTTGAAAACAATAGTTCTCTTTCAATATTTATTTCAAGTTTGTCTATTTCAGCATTGTTTGGTATATTCGGATTAAGTATGTTTCATGCTAAAGACTATTATGAGAAGAATTTCTGTTATTCTTTGAACGAAGTTCCAAATGCGGTGTGCTATGCAAGGGACGTAACTCTTGAATGGGGATTAGTTGTGGCCTGGTTCGGTGTAGTTTTCTGTGCTATTGCTTGTACATTATGGCTTATAGTAGCTCGCGCATTACGTGTAATTAAGGCGAAAACAATGCTGTAATGAAATATGGTATGTATACATATCTATCTTACAACCTACCGCATACAATGTCATACAATTAGCAAGGTTGTTGTGCGAACGTCCTCCATTGAGAAAAATCTCAGTAGCTGATTGTTAAAGCGGTTGGTTTAAGATTAAATTAAGTTAGAATTGTGCCTTGTGTGGTGTACGATAAGATGATCTGGAACTGGAAATTTAACTTTTAAAAACAATGAAAGAGGTATATATATATTATATTTGGCAAATGTGAGTTTCAATGCACGGATCGATGTGTTAACAGACTAAAAATATGCCACAAGCCCAGTAAATATAATTCAAATATTTTGCGTCCATGACATTTCATTTGGTCACTGTAATATGTTTTGAGGATTTTTTTTTGTGCTGTTTGTTCAATGTTATATTAAACAATACCTGGAAGTTGGAAACTCGAGTGGTAGGGAATGTTCTGTCTGACTGGATAAGGATCGTGTAAAAATATCTTGAAAAGTATTTGACATTCCATATGTGCACGTATCCAAAATCATTTTGTACGATAATATTGATATACACCTTCGTCCAATATCGTTTCCTGCCTTCACCATGCAGTCCCATGTAAAATAAAAAAAAAACTCCAGCTCTGTGACATGACAATGAACATAATATGTGGTCCAAGTAAAATTATATAGTTTGTAGAAGATTGTGTATAATATAATACGTTTCAACGCTGTTACTGTGCATAAAACGTTTATCCGTAGCTACAGGGTGGTGGGTGCAATCAAATCTGGCTACGGGTTTGATTTTGCTTATTCCCTTGGGAACTTTTGCCAATCCCATTGGAAAATATGGATATAGGATAAACCTGTCAGAAACCACTGTCTAGTGCAGTCCACAATTCTAGTCAAATACTTAGGTCCATTTTATTTTATACTATCTTATTTGTTTAAAGATTTGCTGTGATAACACTACTTTTGAATATTTTAGATAAATACCCTCTTGTCAATGTTTTGCTCAATGATCTTATTTTGGTCTTCTTTTGATACAAATAACATTTACGTCACGTCGCACTTAAAAAGAAAATCAGACTCTTTGAAAATCCACTCAAGGACCATTATGGAAAAAACTCCGGACTAATATGGATTATGAATTATGAATATGGATTATTGTAAATTCAAATTTCATTCTGAATTGTTTGTGTGTTCCGTCTAAATTATAATATTGGTTTCTTGAATTGTTCTTTTCTCGTTCTAAATACTGCTCCTTTTTTTTCCTTTTTTTTGTAGCGTTATTTATTACATTCGTTTGCTTTGTTCATTTTGATATATGTGTTCTGATTGCTTCATATATTTTTTTTTATACTTTTTGGCTTTTTGTTGATTTTTTTTTATTAGTATTTTGACAATTGGTTGGATTTTTGTAATTTAAGAAGAATATTATCATTGTTATTGCATTGTTGAAAATAAAGTAAAACTGTTTTTGAAATAATATTTACATATTATTAAGATTTCACAAAAATCGATGCTGAAGATGAACGGCGGAGGAAATATTGATTTTCTAATAATTGTGTGATATGGATGATATGTAGACATCCTGAAAATATAAATTGCAAAGTGTGCTTCTCCAGTGAAATTGAATGATTTTCGGTCACCGGTCATCGCCTCCTACGTTTTGACATATATGTTTCCAAAGTGCAAGATATAAAAACAAATTTAAGAAGAATCCGGTTCAGAATATGTTCAATAATACCATCTTAAGTGAGTCAACTCACATGACTTACATCCAAACGAGTCTTTCGAGTTAAGACAAAACGTAGTTAGATACTGATACTGACAGGGACTGCCTTTAGACTTGATGTGTGAATCATGTGCAGGATATGTGCGTGAAAATCGGTTGGTCGTTTTTTGACATGATTGGTGAATATTACGTAACTAGTGATCAGTTTTAATGATAATGATGCTATAAATCTCATATAATTTCAGCAGCCAACTTCATTCATGGATCTATCTCTCTAGCTGTAGAAAATGGTGAGACCAGCAAAGGAATGACAAATGCGATGCTTTCCCATCATGAATTGATAGCTGCGAGCACCTAAGAAGCTGAACCCTTTAAGTTGCACAACACTAATTAAAAGCTTCATGGATGACTCGACACAACTGAACCAACGTCGATGAAAAATACAACGCAATGGATTGGAATCAACTAGGTTTACATTAAAGTCTTTAAATGGAATTTATGGAATCCAGTACCATAGGAACTAAAAACATCGCCTTTCCAACATATTTGAACAGCAATGTCAAGAAGTGAAAAACATCCTTTCTACCAATGACTATCAAGGCTTGAGAACCAAACAAAAGAGGACCAATAACGTTTTTGGCCACATTCATCATGGATAAACGAGAATACCAAAAAACTATTACAGAACTACTTGGAGATACGAAAACTTATAGGAGACTACGTAAAAACCCAAAGACAGGTAAGACAAGAAGCTAAATCAACTTGAATCCAGTAACAAAATAACTTAAATTCAAACTGAGATAGATCAAGCCGCCATCACGTCCATCATACGCCAAAGCAACGATTAAAATTCATAAAAATCCAATTGGCTACTCATCTGCTCTTGGGACTCAGATATTCCAACTGGTTTGATAGATAGCTATTTTGCTCAATAATGTATCCATCTCTATTAATAAATGTTTCAACAATAACTGTAGTTGTTTATTTAATCTTCATTTATCTTTAATTAATCTAGTTTTGTGTCATGATTTCCAATCAGCATTACTTAAAGAATCATCATGCTCTGTGTTGTGTTTAAATGGTTTATGATGTAAAGTACTAATAGTAACAAACCACTTTTATCTCTTGCGTCTACTGTTTTCTTATTAATAAAGTGAATTTATAAATATAGTTTACCCACACTTTATCATCATCTGTCTGAGGACGACGGGGGAAACACGTCGAAACGTTGCATAAAACTTTAACCAGTGATTGTTCCATAAAACTGTGCCTATCTATAGGTTTTCATTAATCCCATGACTATAAATTCCATGCACGCTATCATTTTTTATGGATGTAAAGCGGGTCAATTAGACTAGCACGGCAACTATCTTTGTCGGTTCTTGTCATGTCAAAAAATCACGCCTTGTCCAATATCACAATCAAGCTATTTTGATGTGGATATAGCTAAACGCACCACTGCCACTCGACAATGCACAGACCCATTGATCCAGCTCTGTTGTGTTATCCAGATCGGAAACTCTTGCATAGACTCTTACATCAACAGATTGTCACTTGTTGACGCTATTGCAGTGGTTGATATGATATCTATTCATATCTGTTAAGTATAAAAGGAAAAATTTCAAATCTCAAAAGGCAAATGAAGGAAATCTTATGTATAAGTGAGGCAAGTGCACTTAGCTGATGAGATGATACTCGTCTTTGTTTCTTTGTTATGATCTTTCAAATGAGGATATGAACGTGCTGACTAAGACTACATGTATATTCATTTACGTCAGAAACTGTCCATTTTAAGCATATACTTCAATATATAAAAGGAAATATTGAGTAAATGAGCAGCTGACCTATTTTTTTTTTTTTGCGCAAACCATTTGCGCATACCATGACGGTTAGTTTGCTTAGATGGAAATAAGCAAAATTAGATAATCTAATCGCTCCAAGTGGGAATTTAATGCATGCAGTTTTCATGGTATGAAAAACCATGCTTTGATGCTTTGCTGGGATGCAAATAATCAAAATTAGATATGTAACAGTTTCATGGTATGCAAAGAATGACGTGCTTATTTTCATGGTTTGAAATAATCAAATTTTTGAAGTACTGGTTTGGAAACAATTATTATTATTATTATTAAGACACTTATAGAGCGCCATTTTTCACAATATGTGCTCAGATGCACTGTACAATACAATTCATAAAATATCAACATATTGGTAAAATTGGCAAATAAGTATAAAAATATAAATGAATAAACGTAAAAAATATGTATAAATATAAGGAATAAAACAATCTATAAATTAAAAGCTTTCTTAAATAAAAACGTCTTGAGAAGAGACTTAAAAGTTACTTAAGAAGTGCAGCATCTAATGTTAAAAGGTATAACATTCCAAAGTTTAGGGGCCTGGACGGTAAAAGAGCTCTCACCGAAAGTTAAAAGTCTGGCTGATTTATGTACAAGTAAAAAGTTATCAGAAGATGAGCGGAGAGTGCGGCTTGGTGTATACATTTCTAATAGTGAAGATAAATAGTGAGGTGCAATATCGTTTATACATTTAAAAGTTAAAAGGACGATCTTGAATTGGATGCTAAAAATAATAGGTGAAGGTCGATTAAATTGGTGTAATGTGGTCGTGATATTTTTTGCCAGTGATGAGTCGTGCTGCTGCATTTTGAACTTTCTGTAGCTTGTTGGTTATGCGCAGAGGGGTATCGATTAATAATGAATTACAGTTGTCTAAACGGGAGGTGATCAATGCTTGTACTAGAGTTTTAAAAGAGGAAGAGGGAATATAATATTCCATCCCATGCATTCCAACATTTTTTTTATGGTTTGGAAAATTTCATTATTTCCATCCAATCAGTTTAAGTAGTATATTTGTTTTCAAATAAGCAATTTGGACGATTTCCTGGTTTGGAAACCATGATTTTTCTTATTTTGATTGTTTGATAAACAATCATTATCCATGAAGTTATAATGTTTTATTAGATGAATAAAATGCAATAGTAGCGATTCATTGTTTGAAACAATGACTGGTTTGCATACAATGAAAATGATCAAAATAATCTTGAATGCACAAAATCATTTATTTCCATATGATCTGCTTATTTCAAACAATTTTGTCAAATAATTTAATTCCCACATGGCGCCTCATAATTCTAAGTATTTGGACAAATGTCGTAGTCTGCTTTTGGAAAAGCATGGTATAAATCTTTACTATAAAGACACTGTGGTATTCTTCAGTCTGGAGAAAGTATAGTGCTAACTAGAATAACAACTTTGTATAATTAATGACAATAGTAAATTAATTGTTAAATAATTAAATATATCGAGACTACTAATCAATAACTTATCTGTAATTAACGTTACAACCTGACTACAGGTGAGATATATATATCTTCGTCAGTCAGTTTTTTCAGATCTTAACTTTGAGTTCTGGAGTTTTGGAGATTTTGAAAGGTATGACATTTGCAAATGTCTTTGAGACTTCCACGCCCCAAACATCTTATCTACTTAACCATAGCTTACCTGGTCATTATTATGGACACAACATCATTTTACATGAATTTCAGGTTTTCTAATCATGAAATTTCCATTTTCACAACGTGTTGTTTGATGTAGTTTTTCTCACTTGATTAAGATATTAGTCGTTAATTTGCACAATTATTAAGCTTCAAATTGCAAATTGTCGCTTGACTTTAGTTAATCAATAGGGCAATACATTATTCAAGGGAAGATGTGGAGAATTATGTATAAGAAGTATATATACTTTATAATTTTTTAATGAATTGTACAATATAACCAGCAAATCAAGTATTGTTCCGACAGTTTTCTTATGCTCTTAGTACAATGTGTTCAAACAAGAATCTTCATATATTTTGATTTAGATATAATAAAAAATAAGAAATATTTAAAATGGATATTGTGAATCAAAAGAAGGTGCTTCCCAAAGAAGAAAAATTGACGCAGGTTGAAGAATTGGTGAAACTTCAGATATCTAGAGTTGAAAAAATTCTGGCGTCATCTTTGACCAGAACTGCTGCTTTGATCGAGAGGCAACTGAAAAACGCTACAGAAGAGGACGAGGAGAGAAGGAAGAATCTTGAGAAAAAAAATATCATCTCAAATACTATCGAGACATTTGAGAAAGGCAAATCAATCAAAATAAAACACGATGATGATACAAATAAAGATCATAGTGAACAGGAAAATAAACCTGAGGTGACATTGAATCCAGTGAACACACAGAAGAGCTCCAAAACGTTTAAATCCGTTGGTACCAATACAGACGGAAGAATCGATCATTTTCAAGTTTTAGAAGATAAACCTGCCCTTGGCCAACAGCTTGTGATATCCGACTCCACTGCTGATCGTAAACGACAGCTGTTTGCTGAACGAAAGGTTTACAAACATGTCACTGGACCTATCTGCACAATCAGAATATCTGATAATCATCCTACAGAACGTACTAGTTCTTACATAGATGAATCGTCCGAAAAAATGCGGATAGTTGTAAAGACCTCAAATCGTGGATTAAGTGGAAGAGACGTGATGATTGTCAGTGACGCTCTACAGAAAAACAACATGGAGTTCCGTAACCGGGACAGTGTACATTCGGATAAAGAATCAACGGTTGCGTCTAATGAACAACAAGTAAATGGTGAGGAGAAATTGACTTTAGAATTGGACGTTTCCGAATTTCAGACAAATTCTCAAATTAAAGAGTATGTGCCTCAAATCGCGTCTAGTTTTCATGTGAGGGAGTCAAACATTGATAAAACCTCATTGAAGATGCAAATTAATGCGGATGTTATAGAATCTGACTTTTCTGAATCTTGTAGCACTACGTCTAAGCGCACCACTTCAAAAGATGTATCCGGTGGAAAAATATTGATAGAAAATATGAGAGAAAAACAGCACAAACGAAAGGCGAGAAAAACTAATTGTTGTTCGGAAACTGAAAGTGAAACGTCTTTTTCGTCCAAGTACAATGACTTTCCATTAAAATTTACAAAGGGCGCACCAGATACAAATGATATTGACCTTTCCGGGATGATAAATAGACATACACGGAAGAAAATGTTTGACCACGATGAAAGGAGTGTAAGTGAGGAAGATACTGAATTGTTGAGACGCTCGGCACCAGAGCTACCCAATACCCGGAAAGCAAGATGTAAGAGATATTTCGAGAAGAAATGTGTTTCATATCCGATTGCATCTAGTCACTCTCATTCGAGTCGTGGACACTATAATGGCCAGTCCAATAGAGGAGTTGATTGTGAAAGTATCAACCCGCAACACCTTCTTTCTGAAAATAACAAGAAATCCATTTTTAAACAACAACCAAAGTCTCCAAACAAGACAGCATCAATTTGTAGTGACAATACGAGTTGTGGGGTGTCTGGAAATTTATCTGAAGCGTCTGTTGAATTTAAAAAACTTGAAAATGAGACCAATGAAATAACTAGTAATATTGTATGTGATCGATTAGTTGGCGATAGCAAGGCAAGAACGTATTCCCTTCTTGATTCAACAGATGACATGCCCGCAAACGCAGATGGAACTTATTCAAATGGGAATAAACAGTATCACGATCCCCACGGAGATGTGACTTTACTGCAAGGGGTTGGCACCAGAAAGGCAAATTGTGTTTCGAACAATGTAGAAAAAGAATCAAATCTCCAGTTCAAAGAAAACGAATCTGATCACACTGACGCCAATGGAAATGAAAAACTGGAATCTATCACACAATCTAGAGAACTGAATTCAGATACTGAATCAATACAAAAAGATACAACTTTTTACAACCGTGAACAATTACTCAGTGCTACTGACATTAGTGGTAGTAATAATAGCTCAAACTTTGAAACATGTTTAGAAAATACTCCCAATACGGTACAGACTGGTCGAAAATCCGAATCCACGCCGGAAATCTCCGACAAATTTGGCGAGAAAACCCTTCAGTCCGCGCAAACCCAACTTGACGATAGTAGCAGTGCTGCGAGGTCGTTTGAAGATAAATATCACACAGTTTTGGGCACATTGGAGAAACATCTCAAAGTTTCAAAAGCATCGAAAGATTCCCATGACACTCACTCTGATGAACTTAGTCCGAACATGAAATTCAGCAAAGGTGAGCGAAGTCGTTCAAAAAGCGTATCTCTTGAACACCTTGTCAGTAGCGGCGAGACATTGCAAAATGGACCATTATCTGATCCAATCATGTCAAAACCAAAAGGAAGACACCGTGCCCGATTATCTTCCGAATCTCATAAACAAGTTGCTGTACGCGAAGATTCAATTTGTGAAACACGCTCTGTAACAGAAGAAACTTCGAAATGTGTTGATGTGATATCTGTTTCTAAATCGGAATCTAGTTTGAAGGTAGACGATTCAACCAGTGGGCGCTTAGACTCGTCAATTCACAACCATAGCATTGAGAAAGAGGACGAAAGAGCATCCAGTCTGAACGACACCAATTTAACCGTAGATATAACGCCTAAACTTGAAAATAACCATAATACGAAGCCACTAGATTTAACTATAGATGATAGCTCGGTCAGTGCACCTGAAGAGTCTTCCGCATCAGTACAAAAAAACAATGTCGTAAAAGGAAGTTGCAATAACATTGATGATAACATTGTGGGTGAATATTCCAATGGGCTTGATTTGACTGATACTGAAGGATTAGACTCTTCATTTTATGAACGGAGTGCATCGCGAAGGATTGAAATCAAGACTGCAAACGAGTCCTCGTCTATTGATAGTGATGTGAGTTTTGTTGCAGAGAGTTCTGTTAGTTCTTTAGAAGTATTTTTACCAGCTAATGACAAGGAAAATACTCAACACGGCAACATAAGTGACAGCTCTGTGAATGTTCCCTTGTCTTTGGAGTACTTCACCGATATCGTAACTCCGGTCACCTCTCTTAGAAACGTGATTGACGAATGGTCTGAACCAATAAGAAAACCGTTTAAATTAAAACAAAAATCTAAACGTCTTAATCGTAAAAAGGTCATCACTGATGTCTATGTTAACATTAGCGGAAACAATCGAAAGCAACCACAGTCAGTACGTCGTACATCAACTCCATGTATTGTTCCCAGAGGTTTTTCTGTTACATCGAGCATTGACGAGAGTGATCGTGTCGAAGGCGAGTCAGAACTAAGCACAAGCGTGATTCAATATTCATCTATTCACGAACTATCAAATACCGGAAATGACAATACTTCAAAAATATCTGTAGAAAAATCGTATTCAATGAATGATAATGAACTGACTAGTCCGAAATCTAATCAAGATCTTACATCACTCCCCTATGGTACAGACGATCATGATGATTCCATTCTCAGTAATACGTCCTCGCTTGTTGCTTATCAACGACAACCAAATGCAACTACTGTAACCAACGACCCAGTTTCAAAAAACACTAATTCATTTCTATGTGATGAACTTGAAGATGAAGCCACTACTACAGAAGATGTAGCGAGTAGTATTTTACCGGAGGACGTTGATGACACCACAGATGTAGATGAACGACTTCAGATGGACGAAACTGATTTCAGTGACATAACAGACGTTCTAGGAACATCTACTGAAACTTTTACTAAAATAGAAAATCTAAATTACAAACCTAACATAAATTAACACAAACATAATAGCTGATTAAATAAAGATTCATTTGCTGTAAAAATTTGTTCGATCGATACAAAATATTGTTGTTTTTTGTATAGTTTATTGCTTAATTAATATAATCCAAATGTCGTTTAAAGTAATCAAATATTTATATTTCCACTCTCACTGTATTTGTCACAGTGAACCCTTTGACAAGAAATGCATTCAAATTTGCGTAAACTGCAGTGGGTCACGTGGTCACATTACTGAGCAATATGGCTGCTGTTGAGGCCTTATTTTTGTAACGGCAATCTTTTTGGAAATATAATTTATCAATCGGAAACTTCATGAAAAGAATACATTAGACAGTGGTAATATAAGCAATGAACGATGGACCCACTGCAATTACGGTGATATGAATACATTGGTCAAGGTGCCAAATTTATCATGACTGCCTTCGGCAGCTCATTCAATTTGGCACCTTGCCCAATGTATTCATATCGAAATTATTTTTTCAAATTAGAAATTATTTTTTCAAATTAGAAATTATTTTTTCAAATTAGAAATTCAATTTTCAAATTAGAAATTCAAATTTCAAATTAGAAATTCAAATTTACAAAATTATGTCGTATTTGAGCTTCCGTAGATAAAGGCATAATTCTTGAAAGATTTTGGCCAAATTAAGTAAGTGAACTTCATGTAAACATTTGATAAATACGGAATCTCAAATACGACATGTTTTTGTATTTTTGAATTTCTAATTTGAAAAAAAAATTCAAAATTTTTTCAAATTCGAAATTATTTTTTCAAATTCGAAATTATTTTTTCAAATTTGAAATTATTTTTTCAAATTAAAAATTCAAATTTCAAATTAGAAATTCAAATTTCAAATTAGAAATTCAAATTTCAAATTAGAAATTCAAATTTACAAAATTATGTCGTATTTGAGCTTCCGTAGATAAAGGCATAATTCTTGAAAGATTTTGGCCAAATTAAGTGAACTTCATGTAAACATTTGATAAATACGGAATCTCAAATACGACATGTTTTTGTATTTTTGAATTTCTAATTTGAAAAAAAAATTCAAAATTTTTTCAAATTCGAAATTATTTTTTCAAATTCGAAATTATTTTTTCAAATTTGAAATTATTTTTTCAAATTAAAAATTCAAATTTCAAATTAGAAATTCAAATTTCAAATTAGAAATTCAAATTTCAAATTAGAAATTCAAATTTCAAATTAGAAATTCAAATTTCAAATTAGAAATTCAAATTTCAAATTAGAAATTCAAATTTCAAATTAGAAATTCAAATTTCAAATTAGAAATTCAAATTTACAAAATTATGTCGTATTTGAGCTTCCGTAGATAAAGGCATAATTCTTGAAAGATTTTGGCCAAATTAAGTGAACTTCATGTAAACATTTGATAAATGCGGAATCTCAAATACGACATGTTTTTGTATTTTTGAATTTCTAATTTGAAAAAAAAATTCAAAATTTTTTCAAATTCGAAATTATTTTTTCAAATTCGAAATTATTTTTTCAAATTTGAAATTATTTTTTCAAATTTGAAATTATTTTTTCAAATTAGAAATTCAAATTTCAAATGAGAAATTCAAATTTCAAATTAGAAATTCAAATTTACAAAATTATGTCGTATTTGAGCTTCCGTAGATAAAAGGCATAATTCTTGAAAGATTTTGGCCAAATTAAGTGAACTTCATGTAAACATTTGATAAATACGGAATCTCAAATACGACATGTTTTTGTATTTTTGAATTTCTAATTTGAAAAAAAAATTCAAAATTTTTTCAAATTCGAAATTATTTTTTCAAATTCGAAATTATTTTTTCAAATTTGAAATTATTTTTTCAAATTTAAAATTCAAATTTCAAATTAGAAATTCAAATTTCAAATTAGAAATTCAAATTTCAAATTAGAAATTCAAATTTCAAATTAGAAATTCAAATTTACAAAATTATGTCGTATTTGAGCTTCCGTACATAATTCTTGAAAGATTTTGGCCAAATTAAGTGAACATGCTTATTACCACTAAAGAATCAATAGTACAAAAATTAGGATAATATTTGATCTGAATTATTTAATCGTTAACAAAGGGGCACAAATGAAAACCTAATAGAACAATACTTGTTGTTCTTATTGTCACTCAGCACAATTCCAATGCCCATGGGAATATCTTAAAAGAATTAAAGAAAATTGATCATGATGATATAATGAGACTAGTGTAATATTGTCAACTATTAGTTTAATTTATACTCCAAAGATAATATTAAAGGTGTTAAATTTAATCTCTTATTTGACGCACAAACTTTCTCTTTTCTGGCTGCTCCGTGGTTGACATTTTTAGATAGCTGGTATAAACCATAAACCAGGTTTGTTTCGGGTTATTTGGAGGCTGATTTAGATTGAAACGGAGAAATTACATGCGTTTCTCTTTTTACAAATAGATTCTTTTTGAAAACAAAATCTTCTTTGTTCAGTTTCAAATGAAGATGAAATTATAATCTATAATACTTGCACAAGCTGGCTCTTAGTTTTCTAGAAAGGAATCATTTGTAATTCTGTTTCTTCTGTTTCTTTTGGAAATATTCAACATCAGAAAGAAAGGACAGGAAAAAACACACAGAGAATATTTCAACATGAATATTTGCAATTAAATGAATTGCTTCAAAGTGAAACTTTTGTTAGCTAGAGTAACATGTGCTTGAGAAGTTTTATTGTAGATTTGAGAAATTATGCTTGATTTGTAACACTGACTCATATTCCCTGAAGCTTTATACCTAATGAGTGTCACATTCCTCTGGGATCCCGTGCCTATTCATCTATGAACAATTGTAAGTCAATAGTAAACCTTACGATAAGAGAAGTTATTTTGTGTGCACCATATGAAATATACAGATCGTGTATTGTCTATGTTTAGAGTTGAATATACAGCGCACCTGTCACCAGTGATAATTGGAATTTAGAACTTTATTAAATATTAATAAATTGTAACGGTATTTTAGTTCTGTTCTATATATCGGATGACTTGACACTGTTTTATCACATACAAGGATAAGAGACACAGAAAACTTAATGGGGAAAAAACTACTGTATTTTGGGGGGACTTTGATGGTGGATCTGAACTGTAGGATATAGCTAGAAGATTGTTTGAGAAAATCTCAGATTGTGGGTAAAAAGCAGACGATTGTATCTTTGAAGTGAAGTTTGTATTCTGTCGATTTTTATCAAAGGTAGGTGGCACAGAACATTGTGATTCTATACAAACGTCAGTTCTATCTATTGGGTTTACACTCAGCGTTTGAATTTCAGCTTTTTTATGATTAATTTTTTACTTTACGACTTAGTTGAGTGCGTAGAAAATGCAACAGGACATGTTGACCTGAATAAAATACCTACTATCACTCTAGATTGTTTATGGTTTCAATTTCTAAACGTTCGCGTATTTCATTTTCATCTTATATACCTATATATTTATCTAAATTGTTTATGTCAATGCTCGTTATTATGCTGGTGGTATTGTATATTTTGTAGTCAATGCCTTTTTTCAGTATTAACCTCATATTTCAAAGTTCCAATTGTTTAAAATAGAATGTAGGGCCTACACTCCTATCAGGGTAGTATAAGGCTTTAATATACATAATATTTCAAAACATTACGCAAACTGTCACTTTCATAATAGACTATTACGTATCCTGTAAATATTTGATAATTATTGAATGACAGTTAATGATATTGTCTTTCAGTTTTATGCAGTTTTGCAGCATTCAGTCAACCGAGATCCACAATTAGGATCTCTAGAGTAACAAGATCGTCATTAATGTAGTTTATTCATTCTGATTGCTAACTGTTCTCTTGTTTCCTTAAACAAAACTGACAAAGAGATCAATTTTTCAGTTTAAGATTCTACTATTGCTTTAAACCATCCAGATGGAAATGTTACTATTTATAGATTGAGAGTTTTCCCAAGGGGTATCAGCACAATTCAAAATTTAAAAGTAGAAGTGTTTCCCATGTGAACAAAGAAATTAAAATCGATGTATAGAGTTTCGGTTGAAAGACTTTTTTATTATCAGAAAGAAAAAATATTGTATCTACATAATATAATGGATTATATTAAAACACTTTTTGGGTGTCATAAAACATATTATTTGTATTTTTTTTCTGATGAGCAAGATTGTCATAAGGTGAACATAAATTCGAGAACTCGGGTTGTCGATGGACGTAAGGGTATGGGGAGGTAGAAATTGTTCTAGTTTAGTATAGCAATGTAGAAAAGACTAACACTGTTATAAACAATATTTCCATTAGGTTGAGACAACACATGGTGATGTTTAGTCAACCATGGTGATATAATAGTTATATTGAAATATTTAATATACTTCTCATGTTACAACCATTAAATTTATAGATTGAGTTATAATTTCCTCAATATTCAGATCTAAAAATTACATTTATCTTCGGTTCTGCCCTTATGACATCAGAACGGTTGCTCATAATCTTTTAGGTAAGTCAGTCATCTGAACTTCAAAATCTAGGTATAATGATCTGTGAATCAATCAATTTTATTTTAATTTTTGTTGTAAACTGGTTTAGGAATTTTGGAATAAATGAGCTGCATAAGGTGGACATGGTTTTGTAATAGATAGAGATAATTCATTTTGTGACCAATCTGGAAAAATGGGGTTAAGTGTTATCCGCATCTGCGACTACAGTACCATTATATTTTCGGGAAATATACTCGTGTTGTTGATGGTTGCCTTGGCAACGGATTACTGGGAATATAATGGTTATGATTTTGGAACTTTAATGGAAGTTTTGCCTAAAATGCACGACGTTGAAATTTATGTACCACGTGACACAAGAACCTACATAGAGATTGTATATATTCAAGATCAAACCGTTTTAAATCAAACCAACGGTAAGTTATATTTTGTTTAATCACATAATGGTAATAACCATCGCCTCTTAATCATGTCGGAAACTTTAAACCACAAACGTCGGATTGAAAATTGGAATGGTGCAAATTGATTTTATCAGTGTCCCCGATACACATAAAAAAGTTCAGAAAACAATCCTTTTAATATATAGATACCGAGTTTCCCCTATAGCAGCTTAACCTGTTATAATGGAACCGAGACAAAAACACGTCACGTCAAAGCAGGTAATCAACAAGCTTGCACGAACCCATTTTATGTTTTGTTTTGTATAAATGAAAACACGTATGAAACTCGGGAATAATATAAGAATATGGACATACACTCTCGTATGATAATGGACGTTTTGTTAGAATTGACTGTCTCATACGAAGCTATATGGATGAAATGACCTCGTGGTCGCATCTACTTATTGATAGGTGTGTGGTATCTTCTTAACTTTGAAATCATACATTTTGATTTTCGTACTATTTTTAGCCGGTTAACTTTGTAAAGTTTTGTGGGGAATTTTTAAGCCGCGTATTTTCCAGAAAAGATAGATAAAATAATATTTTCACTAAAACTGAAAATTGGTGTTGCCTCCCTTGAAGTTTGTCCATTATGTTACATCCATTGATCTTACAGTAATACCCTCATGTAAATTTCTCATTGTAGAACTATATGATGTGTATTATCAACCACCAACATTTGCTCGAGTGGATTACCAACCTCAGAGTGATGGTCGGATAAAAAAAATTACCAGAATCTATGTATTTTATCAGTATAGTAATTTATTTATAGATTGCAACGATTTAGAAGGTAAGATATAGTTTACTTATTCAACATGGATGTGAAGAACGTACTTTTATACTCCTCTCAGAACAGGGTCTTGCAATTTAAGCATCAAAGTCTGCACCAATGCCTGTATCTACGCTTCTATGGAACATTGTTGCAAACAGAATCATCACGAGAATGAAGTTTACATGACTTATAATGTGTATTCTATCCAAAAGACTCAAAGTCTTGCTCATGTGCATGCTACCTGCATATTTCTATCAAGCAAAACTTATGACACTAAATGAATCTCCTTCCTGATATTCGGGATCAGGACAACGTGACACGGGATGAATAAATTGGTACAGCTAATATACCGACCACAGTGGTCACCTTGGTAGAAAGATAGCTTGCCAAGCAAGGTAATATACGCCCACTGGCAGCTTTGATTTTCAATAAAAAATATTTAGCGGTACAGTTACAATCAGTATGAAATATTCAATCTTCAGTCATACACTTCTTTTGAACTCTTTAGGGCGATACTGAATAATATTAAGTATGAGTTATTGCCCTTGTTCTTGAAAAGGGAGCGAAATATTCAATCTTCAGGGCGGTACTGAACTATAAAACCAAGTTTTTTCCAAATCCGGCAAGAATCATGTCTTTTATTGTTTAAGAACAAAAATTTGAAAGCGTTATCAAAAACGAGATCAATAACTCCTATGAAACATATTTCGATTTTTTTGATTTTCAATAGGGTTCATCCATGGGTGATAATAAACAATTTCATCGAGTTTCGTCAAAATCTGTCAAGAATTGAGCATTTTAGAATGTTTATGAGCCCAAAATTTAACACGTTCTCAAGAACGTTGGCAATAACTGATACTAAATATTTTTCGATTTTTCTGATTTTCGATAGGGTTCATCTTTGGCTGATAACGAACACTCACTCTATTTTCGATAGTGTAAATCATAATTTAATCAACTCACAGTTTCGTCAAAATTCGTCAAGAATTGTGCCTTCTAGAGTGTTCTCAAGAACAGGGGCAATAACTCATACTCAATATTTTTCGATTCTTCTGATTTTCAATAAGGCTCATCCTTGAGTGATTACGAATACTTACACCAAGTTTCGTCAAAATCCAAAACAAGAATTGTGTCTTGTAGAGTGTTTACGAGAAATTGTGGACGGACGGACGGACGTATCAGTATTGCCCTAAAGAGTTCAAAAGAAGTCTATGACTGAAGGTTGAATATTTCATACTGGTGATTGTTACTGTCCTGCTAAATATTTTTATTCAAATTCAAAGATGCAAGTAGGCGTATATTACCTTGCCTGGCAAGCTATCATATAATGATATGTCATGTTTGCTTTTTTTTGAATAATGTGACCGACAACTGAAGTGATTTAGGTTATAATATTTCATCTTGTAGATGGTGTAAGAATACGAATGGGTTTGAGAGAAGTCCAAAATCATAAATGCATAAATTTTATTTTTATGCCTTCGAATGACTATAGATCCCAGTATGATGATGCAATAACAGTTTTACGTAAGTTGAATTAAGTATATTTCATGATAGATCCTGGAATATCAAAATAATTAAAAAAAATTATTCTGTTAGTATATAGGTGACCAAATATTCTACCTTTAGATGTTTAGGTTATCAATAGTGATATTTATAGTAGATGTAGTACATAATCATAGAAATGTTATTTTCTCTTTCCAGGAATAGAACGAGCAGCCTTTTCGTTTGGTTTATTTAGCATAATTAGTATGATTACATCACTAATAACTGGTTCTATTGGCTCGTTGTCAAGGAGACTAAATATGGTGACTGCTGCTTCTTCCTTATCATTAGCTTCCGGTAGGTTGATATCCATTTATGACTTTTTCTTTCTTGATATTGTTCATGAACACAGGCTGAAAACCTATATAAGCCCTATTGAATAATATACATATGTCCTCATTATATTCCCAATGTTACCACAATAGGGATTGTTAACAAAATATGGATTTTTACCAAATTAGACATGCGTATTATTGTCGAGATTGTTACCATAAATCGTGGTTGCTAGCTAAAAACGGATTGTTCATATAATTGAGAATGTAACCAAACAGTACAATGGGTATTGTAAATATAGAAGTTGTTACAAAAGTAGGGACAGGTAGTGTTACCACTACATGAAGACCCATTAATCATTCAATGGATTATAACAAGGTGAACTGTATTATGAATATTTATAATTTTTTCGTTTTCTTCACTATCATTAAAAAATTTTGCTTTGCAGGTATGTGTTTGATCGTAGCCATCGCATTATTCAATGGCAAGAGTCATCTACAACAAAGATGGCCACTATTGCCTGATTTATACATTCCATTTAAAGAAGAACTTATGAAAAGTAGAGACCATACTTATGGTTGGTCATTTGTGTTAGCCTGGATTTGTGTGGCCTTAAATTTTACAGCCTCATTTGTCTGGCTATACAAGTCTCAATATATGATAGATCCTCTTGAGCCATCGAGACGTATGGATGAAGACGTGAGCCGTACCCGAAGGAAATCTTCAGGAGGAAAAATGTACATTTCTTTTCCACACACAGTGGAGGAAGGAGAGACTTTCTGTGACTTATAGATGAATACAAATTATGCTTATTTCCACTATTAGTGAGTCATAGGCTAACTTGAAAGATCAAAATTATCATGCTTGTGACATAGGTGTCTTTTTAAGACCAATTTTTAGAGTCTTCCAAGGAGTACCTTCCTAAAAGATTCTTGAACGTCAAAAAAAACATACGCATTGTAACTTTTTACTGAATTTTCGATAGAATTCTATTATTTCTTGACTACTGCCAGCTGAAGTCAGCACGATATGGAGACTAGCTCAACAAAGATATGATTACTGTTTTATATACAAATAAAAATTCAACTGTATCACAGTTTATTGCAAAAATCACAATTATAAAGAAAAAAACATAATGAAGCTTTTTAAATCAATGATGTACAATAATTCGAAAGTATAAAAAAGAATGACATGCAGAAAATTATAAAAGGCCTACACAATTCAGCTGTAAAGCTATAAACAATATATTAAGGTGAAACGTTTATAATATTCAATTAATCGTCGAATTTCAGAATAGAGAAATCAATATGGATTTCGGTGATGTGATTGATCGCCATTGAAGTTCACTTGCGGAATTTGAAAATCAAAATTGTAATCAAGAATTTTTCAAAATATAATTCCCCGTTGTTCTGCTTAATAAATATGTGAGCGGCAAATTTTTAAAATTTCATCATCTCTGCTTCTTTTATGTTAATGTATGATTTAAACTTGTAGTTGGGCAGTTCGGTGATTTGGTTTTGATACAAAGATAGTGTGCAACATGTAAGATAGTGGACCACAGCCATATACACCCACCATGGCATGCGGATGGTATATATTCAAGATTTTGGGACAACGGCAATAACTCTGCTTCTAACGGTCGAAAATAGCTCAAATTCGAACTTCATCTTCGTTGTATGAATATGTCTACAAATACCTAATTTCATTTGATTCCATCAAAAAATCCAGTTTTTAGAGCGTTTACAAGCAAATGTTGACTTACGGACCGACGGACGGACCGACGGGCCGACGGACGGACAGGGGTGCCGACAATATACGTCCACATAGAGAGATATGGGCGTATAAAAATCATTCCTTAAACTTTATGATACGAGCTACATAGTGGTCACCTTCACAGGCCTTCTATCAATTTTATTTTGTAATGACGTTTCGAGATTTAAGTGCATTATTAGCTTTAGCAAATGGAAATTGGAGGGAATACTCGTAAGTATTAAAATTTTAATGGAGATGAAGGTCCATATAGGTCCCCTTTATAGCCAAATTCTTTAAAATGAGCTTCTATATATCAACACAAATGTTCATATGAATATGTAAAACAATTGGAAAATATAAATAGTCTCGGATCTGTTAGGACACAAAGACTGTAAATGATTCTGGAGATCTAATTTTCATATTCTTATATGAATTTAATTTTTTCTGAACACTGTATTTCGTGGTCATAACGATCATTTAACTTCACACCAAATACACTGAAATCGCGCAAATAAAGAGCAAACGACAACTTAACACAATTCCTTTTTCATTTTGCCAATTGGCGAATTAGAATATAGACATAACTTTTCGGTCTGTTTTTTCTGCATTTTTTCTCTTTTTGTGATTTTAGATATACAGAGTAACCCACACGAAGAAATACAAAATATTTAGAGCTGTATTTTAATCGCAATTGTCTCTAAAAGGACATTTTCACGAATCAAGAACATTTCTGTAATGATAAATTAATTAACATGGTTAGTCTTTCAAATACTCCAACCAGGATTCCATACTTTACAACAGCTTCAACAACCTAGGATGGATAATCAACGTCTGTTATGATTAGTGACTTTATGAACGACGTCTATTTTTTCTTCTTGTTAATCTTGAACGGAATCTTCTTCGACGTTTGGACTGTCGTCTGGCTTTGGCAAATCTTCGCAATGCAGCTATCCTCCGGTATGCGGCACCAGCTAGTTTACTACACGATTTGCAACATATTTTCTTAAAACCACCAAATATACATTTTTTAGCATTTGCAGTTCGGCAGAAACTATACTTATCCTTTTCACAGCGTGGTCGTCTTAGAGCTGTAATAGATCACAGTTATGTATAACAATGACAGCAAAATGACGATAAAAAGCAGCCTTTCCGCGGATTTCATTTTTGACTTTGACTCATCGGCCCAAAGCGTTCAAAAAGTGAGTCAAACGAAAATTACTCAACAACATATATATGTCTTTGGATTGGATAGTATATAAAATTATATCTGCCTTTGGATTAAGAGAAACCACTTTATCCTGATAATGTACTTACGCTTGCATTTGCCTTTATTGCAGAATTTAGTAGCAGATGGTGGATCATTGGAACAAAGATGGTCATCAGTTTCATCTTCTTCATCTCCACAATAAACTACTCTCTTCTCAATACCAGTTCCACACGTTTTAGAACACTAGGGATGCAAATAATAATTCAGTATGCTGACTCAAAATCCCCCAACACCTTCGCGCCTGACTTAATAACCAGAATCAGAACACGAACTTGGTTTACCTCAATGTTAAAGACATGACTCTTTTCTAAACCGGAAACGCTTGATGTTCCGATGTAAACAAAGTAAACCGAAAGTATGGTCTTGAACTATTTTCAGTAGTTTGCATCCCGTTTTAAAGCACAGGCTATGCTTTCACTATGTAAATTGATAAAAAAAAATTGAAAGGGAGTAATTCAAAATATTGCAATGTGCAAGATGAACTGAAAAGTTATTTAACTGATCAATCTGATGATCCAAAGTATATATTCATTTAACTTCACCTCTTGCCATTCACCAACTGTCCATTCCACGGGACAATCTCTAAGAAAGCATGGCTGAGTGTCGCTGGGTCTTATTTCTTCATTACAAAGATAGTCATCATAATCTTCTTCAACTCCACAGAATACATCTCTATACCTCATACCTTCTCCACATGATTGTGAACACTGTAACAGTTAAAAATGTTAATAGTTTCACCATATACATAGTTGACTATTCCAAAATGAATACATGTCACAGCTACAATATATCATATATATTATACAAGAGTTGGGTTCCGATAATCAACACGGATAACTGAAATTGGCAAAGATAACTTACATCCGTCCAGTCTCCAGTCGACCACTCCAGTGGGCATTCGGCGAGAAAACAACCTCTAACACTGCCCGGTCTATAATTTTTCACACACAGATGATCATCAAAATCTTCATTTTCTACCCCACAATATATTGACCTTGTCTCAATCCCCCCACCACATGTCACCGAACACTGAAAAGTTTTAAAGTTTCAAGTATTACATTTTCCATAAACATGTATGATGGATGAGTATACGGATCTATATTTAGTGATTAGTAACTTTCAATTCCACGACGCTCTCTCATGTCTATCTTGCCTTGCTTTAATATAATCTAAAGTTTTGGTTGCTAATTTCTGCAATGGTATTTTGCCATAAGCTATTGCGTCGTTACCTACGATTCTGAATCAACAACGTATTCCTACCTCTTGCCATTCACCAACTGTCCATTCCAGAGGACAATCACCAAGAAAACATGGTTTGGTGTCGCTGGGTTTATATTCCTCAACACAGCGATAATCGTCATAATCTTCTTCTTCAACCCCACAGAAGACATTCCTGTATCTTAAACCTTCTCCACATGACTGAGAGCACTAAAATAATGGTTTTATATAGTATTATCCTCTTAATAATTCAAATATTGGTAGCCAGAACAATAAATGGCACAAAAAGAATCACAGTGTGAACACATTGGACCAAAGTTAGCATTCCGCCCACAAAACATACGCTAAATCGATCCTCCCAAATAATCAATTTGAACTTAATCAGTTTTATGCAATACTTACATCTGTCCAATCTCCAGTAGACCATTCCAGTGGGCATTCAGCGAGAAAACAATCTCTAACATTACTGGGTGTATCATCCCCAATACACAGATGATCATCAAAATCATCTTCCTCCCCACAATATACTGCCCTGGTCTCAACGCCTTCACCACATGTCTCCGAACACTAAAATAAATTAAATTAATGAAAAAATTTGAATGTCCTGAAATATTTCGGTTATATAACTTATGCAGAATATCCACTTGTATAAAGATAGCTAAATAGAGTGTCATAAGGACTGTCTGGGATTTCTCTATAATTGTACTCTCTGATAACTCTGTAAGGAAGCACCAGGTTATTGTAGTGTTAGTTCTTTGAGATTGTAAAAATTTGCATGAATCGAAAAGATTATTACAGAATGAGGTTTAGCCTACCGGGGACCAATCACCAACTGACCATTCCAGTGGACATTCATGCTTATAACAATCTCTAACCGCATCTGGCGCTTCTTGCTCCTGACACAAGAGGTCATCAGATGGGTCATCTTTCTCACCACAGTAAACATCCCTAGTTTCTTCACCGTCTCCACAGGTCACAGAACACTAGAATGAGAAGGTATTGTAAAGAGGCATTTACTGGTGCATAAAATCATTATTCGATATTTTTGTATAATCCTTGGGCCCAATTCACGCGGTTTGTTTCAAATAATAAGGAACTCACCTCTGACCATCGTCCTATCGACCACTCTAAAGGACATTCGGTTTGAACACATTCTTGTGTATCTGATGGTGGATCTTCAAAGCAATCAGCAGAGTTGCTGTTCTTGTCTCTACAGTATACACCACGTGTTTGCGTTCCTGTGCCGCATGTAACGCTGCACTGAAATAGGCATTAGACTTTATCACTAGTGATCAAAAACACAAACAAATTATGAGCAAACAACACACGACTGCAACTATAATCTGTCATGATTAAAAATGTAGTTATACATTTGACTTGCATCGACATGCGGTTATTCCTCTGTAAATTATAATAGATTGTTTTTATAGTATTAGGAATGCGCATAGGCAATAGAAAAGGTAAATAAAAAAAACAAACCTTCCCCCAGTCTCCTACAGACCATTGTTCAGAACATTGTTTAATATTGCACGGTCTGGTTTCATTTGGAGCTGGTATTTTTGAACACTGGCTCTTATCCACTACTTCGTAAGTGCCATCTTCGAGGTGTTGTTCACAAGCATAAAGCTCAGTTTGCTGTCCCGATTCACCACAAGTTGCTGAACATTCACTCCATTCATCTAACATCACCCAGTTAAAACTGAAAGTACTGCAAACTTGAATATAATTCAAAGCACTATTCAGCCTTTTCCCTTTTGATTAATCAAAGATTTCCGATTTATCTTAGAATTTGTGGCGTCATCAGCACTTAATTAGGACACAACGCTGCATCCATCAATGAAATCAGTTCAGTATTTGTAAAGATGACTATACTACATGTATATACTTACATTAATTGTGAACAATCTGGTCGATAACACATAGCAACATCCGCTCTAGGTTCTTCTAAATAACTGCACATTTCATCATTAATACGCTTATCCGTAAATTTATCATGACAAGCATACAGTATCTTCTGCGTTCCTGAATTAAAAAGCATTTCCGAAGATCGAGATCAAGTCCTGTTTTCACTTTCAACAGTTTTACGTTTGAGTGATTTTAAAGAATTGGTTTGAATATATAGTCTACTGATCATGACTACGGAGTTCACAGACTACCAGAGTAGCTATACACCAACAATTTCACTTACCAGTTCCACAGGTGACAGAACATTCGGACCATTCCTTGAACTTCCATTTATATTTGATCTTTTCTAGCGTGTGGTCATTTTTATCTATTGTATACTGATAGGTGATAGAAGCTGGCTTCAGATATTTATCAGGATACATCTTCAAATACAAAACAAAATGCATAGGATAGCAAAAGACTCTCTTTACTATATATTACTTTCAATAAAGACCCCATCTATAACGGCATTTGTTTCAAGTGGCACCAACCAACGTCTCGTCTCAATTCACGTATAGCCCTGTCACGCCAAACTGTGACATTTGCGACCATACAACGACTTAAAATATTTTTGTCGCCGACAAAGGAGGAGAAAACAACGAGAGAAAAAGTCCCTTAAAATTCAACAACAGTCGGTATCCACCTGCGACATATGCGACCATATTGCATTCCCAAGTCGCGCTTCTAATAAAATCTATGGGCTTTGTGCACTTCATTTTTATTATCTGACGCTTCCTTAACGATTATACCACGCTTATGGCGATCTTACCTGCTTACCTTACATGCTTTAAGCTAATTTTCTGTCGCCGTAGTACCTCAGTAAGGACCACGTTCCGGTGTGACGGGACTAATACTGAACTATTACTTCAGAAAATCAATTATAATAAACTAAAAAAACTTAAATTCGGTTGTGTCTCGTGCAAACACCAGAAATCACCAAAGCGATGGGTTCAATGGAACATTATCGATTCATACCATCACTTCAAGGTTTCTCTTAACAGGACCCTTTGTTGTTAATATTTCTTGTGTTGGACCATTTACATACTCAAAAATGGCACCATTGGCTATGAACGTTCTTGAACGTACTTTTTTCTTGTCGCCGTTTAGAAAAAAGATCTGGTATTCAGGATCCTTTAATGCTTTAAAAATAAATAATATCTAACTAGTAGAGTTTTCAACTTGACCTCTCCTAATTTCTCTAGATCGCTACACCGACCATAGAAACTCAGGAGCAGATTCAAAATCCAATTAGATATTATATAATATTTTTACAAAAATATTCCTACAGATATGAGTGAGGAGAATAAATTAGCGAGGTTAGGTTCTTGAAGAAGGGGAGAGTGCCACCAAAACGTAGGTTTTACATTATCACATGAATGTACATCATGTTTAAGTGTATAGAACAGTACAACAGTAGATCGTCATATCAAAAACAACAGAGGTATCATATAAAGTACAACAGGGATTTTAAAGCTCGGATTCATAACAAAGCACTTTTTAGCATTATGGTCTTTAAACTAGAAATGCAAATGTTTAATAAAAGATGCACTTGAAAAGTTGAAATAGTGCAAGTCTATATCTGTATATGTCTCCAGATTTAGAATGTATTACCTAGAAAATGAGGTGACCTTTTATTTTTAGAAACTTCAACATGTGTTGCTCCATTTGGTACAAATATAACTTGCTCGTATTCATCGCCAGCTGTTGGGGTTTTATTGAAGGAACCAGAGACTGTTTTACACTGACTTCCATCACCACCACAAACACCACATCGATCATTGGATTTAGTGGAGTTTATTATACTATCACAACCTACGATCTGAATGAACAAGCTTGTGAAAGGAAGAGAATGTTTACTTTTCGTTACACTGTATCTTATTTTTGAAATTGATTCAGAAAAGCAATGCAGTTAACAATGAGAAAATTACTTGTCCTGACATTGCGACAACACACCGAGCTTTTCTTTTCAAGGACTAATTAAAGGGCCTGACTTCAATGGATACCTACCATGCATTTACCATGAACACAGATGTCATCGGTGTCACTATAGGTACATGGTGTGCCATCTTCGACATCTATATCTATGGTTAATATTTCTCGTGATTGCTCTGATATACACGTGCTTTTACAATATTCTTTGGCTGCAAATAAAAACATTATAGTTGATGGTCAAGGAGTACCCTCTGTGAATAATCCATCATATGCTTCATACGAACACTTTGTTATCACTGATGACAGTGCAAGAAGAACTTACGTCTATCTGTATGGTAAGGTTGCCAGTCGTGCTCCCCGGGTCGTATGTTCATATCATTCCACACTGAACATTGTAACGCACGATCATCCACGTAATTGGTACATTTCTGGAAAGAAAAATACAATCTTCGTTGCCAAGAAATTGTTTATCAATATGAATAAAAGAAAAGCATGTGGTGCCAGCTTTCCTAGACTGGGGGTACATATAGGGGAAAGACTGACTCAATGGGATGACAACTGCTGAGGCTGATTTCAAATTTTGGCTACGCTGTTGTGGTGTCAGAGTCGCAAGTCTCTCATAGAGAGTCTTAGAGGGTTCTCTCAAGAAAATTTTACAAAAAATGAATTGATTTTGTGCATTCTGACCCATGTTTTGGAGAAAAAAGGTAGACATTTAAATTTGTTGAAAATAAAGTTGAGGTACAATTGGGGGTGCAATTTTCTAGGTGGGCAAATGGATGCCACTAAATCTGTAACATTACTTATATAATCATAAAAATTCATATGGGGTTTAGTTTAGCAAACAGATATAAATGAACCCTCTGCTTTTCGGAACACTCAGAGTACCTTATAGAAACACGACGTAGCTCAAATGATAATAATATGATTAATTCAGTCTGTTTAATGTGTCAAGAGTTTTCATATGTTCTCCTTGTCCTAAGCCAACATCTTCTAGTATAACACCATCAGAGAGGTTATTTAGAATGTTAATCTCGCTTACCAAAAATACTAATATTGTAAGTAGATAATAAAAAGGACTGTCCGTTCATAAAGTGACATCTATTTGTGAAAAATGAAGGTCACGTGATGGCTGTCGTCTAGTCAACAACTTCCGGTTTGAGTAACGCCATATGAAACACATGAATAAGCCAGTAGTGTTTGCTATAAACAACATGGTTCTCATTATCAAATTAAATATTGTTTACATTATGCAAAGCCTAACAAACGTTTTGATCCCGATATTCCGGCAATCTGGTTCTTTCTTAAAATATGAATGACATAATGCTACAATACCATGACTCATAAAATCGTACGAGAGAACTCCCGACGTTCATTGACCTTTTCAATATGTATTTCGTCAGCACCTTTCAAGAATAAAAAAAAATGTGCACCTAACTTAGACAGTGAAGTCGATTGGTAGTTAAATTGGTCATTCAAACTAACTAAACAGTTGGTGCCGTGATAATGAGACTATAAAAAGAGACTTGGATAATCATGCTAATGTGGCCACTGTCTCAATCAAAATAACCTTACATACTGCACAACAACTGTATACTGTATTAAACACCTATTCTGCGATCTCCTAAATAAATTAGGATTGAGGTTTTTATCGCATGTGTGTTGTTATAAAAACACCTGTATATAACAAGTTACAGATGAAATATAGAGTAAAATTTAAAAATATTGTGACGACTTTGTTTATGTTATGAATATTATGTCTGGTATCTTTTTTTGTCAAGTGATTATGCTGAGTGGTCTTTTCTGAATCGTGACAGAATATTGAAAATAGGTCGTTTTTGAAATTCTCATTTAACAATGGACCAGAAACTTATTTATGTGTAAAATAAATTACATGAATGGGAATGATAAAATTCGAAAATGTTTGTGCTTGTCGTAAATTGAAACCTCTTATGTTTAAGTTGAAAAATAAAAGTAAAACTGGATGCTGATTGAAATCTACCCAGTGCTAATTGGAAATCAAACCAGAAAGCTTCTGGTGTGTTTGATACTCTTAAGCTGACTTTTCGGTCATGTGTCAAAAACTAAATGTAAAGCAATTATGTTCTCAACAAATGTTTTGATTGTGCATTCCATATTCATACATAAATTAAACTCGCATTTTTGTTGAATGCAATTTTGAATCTTGATTGAAATTGACTTCAGATTAAACGGTTCACAGCTTTAGATAATGAATCTGTTCAGAATCAGAACATTTAAAATTTCAATGATAGATATATAGACTTACTTCTGATTTACAAACATCTGTGATACTTTTTTCACCATCACATTCTTTACCCCCATAGGCAGGGCTATAAAATACAGATTCCTCATCAGTGTCTAATATAATTTATCATGATACTCGCAATGCAAAATTATTTTGTTAAGTAGAATTGTAACTGTGTAAAATTCTGAAATAATCTATAAGATAATTTGACTATGATAAAACCTAGACTGTTTTCTATTTAAACATGTTTTTAAATAATTGAAACAACGCATTGTGGTTATCCAGAATATGTGAACAGCACAGTGCAGATATATTCTAGTGGATAATCTGTTTCGGATTCATGGCAAACAAGTGAAAGAGTTAGTATCACCTTGGATTGTCACAGTCTCGTGTTCTGTATCTTAGTCCAGTACCACAGTCAGTTGTACATTTAGTCCAGGGCGACCAGTCTGCCCAGTTACCGTCACGTGGACTAAGGTTACCAATGTAGATACATCTGGAGTTGACACAACTCTAGAAACAAAAATAAGAATACAACATATGACACAACTGTTAACGGCAGCACACTGTAAACGTGTTCTTACAAATACTTCCGATAGATCACAGGATGTCAAATTAAAACTCGGTACAAGATCCTCTGGAATGTTGAATGAAGTTCAAAGCTCTTTTTGGCGCTAAATGTTATAACTGACAAGACACAAAACTGATGTAAACATTGTACTCTAGTTCTATTTGCAATTTATATTTTATAAATCTTACAAACCTTATCCACACCACACGGTGTTCCGTCTAAAGATGGTCCTCTTTTAGTTCTACACAAACTTGGAGTTCGTCGTTTACTGCACCATAACATAGCACAAGGATCCGGGTAAAACTGTAACAAATATATTTGTTGACGTATGTTTCTTTTATATTTTTATCTAGATTGCGTGAAATGATTTAATTGAATGTTAGGATGACATTGAAATGAATTGATGTGAACATGATATGAAACTGAATTGATTTTTAGTTTATGAATGCGTAGGTTGATAAATGAACAATGTAATAAATGAAATGATTAGTAGAGAAAATCGAGATATATGTAGGACAGGATAATATACTATTAAACTATGAAGTTATGAATTAAGAAGATTATCTATGAAATGAGATTATAGAGATACGGAATTGTGAACTAGGCTACACTAATCATTTAAGTTAATTAAGAATTGGGGTACTATGAAATGAGATGAAGGAATTGCGGGATGTATGAACAAAAAATATAGGGTGAAGATAAAACGAGAGACCAGTAGTTTTTATACCAAAATGAAAAGATACAGACGGTGCTTACTGCATGACAAACGCTAAATTCTTCACCAAATTCAAGTCGGCATTGATGTTCCAGACTCCAACCTGTTCCAGGCAGCTCTGGTACCTCTGGCAGATTTGGTAGTTTATATGGATCATCATTTAAACAATACAGGTAGCTGAAAAATAAGTGCAAAATGGAATAAGACATATAAAAAGCATGAATTGTAAACGTTTGGAGTAGAAGCCCATCTGTCAATATAACAGTTAAGGAACATTATTGATATAAAGGATTATGCAAAGGAATTTAGTACAGATAAAACCTACTCTATGACTTCTTCCATTCTTTGTTTAGAACATTTTGACCACCAGTAATAGTTGAGTTTGGATTCCACCAATCTGGCCATTATAGCTGTTCTGTATTTAGCACCAGTACACGTGTTACCTCGCCCATCGTGAAATAAACCCATCCTAGAAAGGAACACAAACTCAGTCTATTATAATCGGCTGATTGTGTAAATAAAAGAATATGCAACTCTCACTATCAAAAACGTAATATGACAGAATCCTGAATATTCTTAAACAAATTTCAGCGATACGACTTTCATTACATTTCAACCGGGAATGCTCGTTTATCCGACAGAAGAGTAAGAAAGAGGTCAGTCTTAAGCACCTACACATGCGCCATCTCGTGAGCTATGATAAAACCGGAAGTAAATCCTTCATCTTTAATAGCAGCACAACTTCTACCTGGATTACACATACCAGTTATTGGAGCATAACCTGAAATACACAGAAAAGATTTTAGTTTTTTTTGCTGTTGTTGTTTTTTTAATTTAGTAATTAGTACTATTGCTTATGCAAATGAAATGTGCCATGGTTTTGCATTTAGTACCTTTTAAATGAAAACAGACAAAGATCAAGTATTGTTCACTGCCTTGAAAATAAAATAGTGGTGACCTATGGGCTTTATGAACTTACCTGCAGGACCAAGATTTTCTCTCGTTAGAAGGATAGCTATATCGTGTCCTTGAGCACTATTAGGATCAGCATACCGCATTGCCCACAAACAGAATTTCTGTACTGTACCAAATGGATCATTTTTCGATACAACTTGTTTTTCCTTTCAAGTAAAAACATGAGGTTACTGAAAGAGGCCGATATAGTCATTTTTAGAAATAACATATTTCACGAGAAGTCCTTAAACTGATGTCATAGTGTTTGATCTGTTTTATTGTCAACAAGTTTTGTTTGTTTGATTCAAACAGTGGTTATTGGCAGTTATTTCTAGATATGTCCAAGGATAAAAATAGAACAGAGTTTATATCCAGTACGTCTCCAGCATAAGCACAGACAAAATTCAGAATGGAGGATGAAATAATATAGTGCAAGAAAAACTGACCTGGGTTTTATCAAGTAACATCATACGTACTACAACTACTTTAATATCAATACCTAAAGAATCGTGTTGGTACACTGAATTCACCTATAAATGTAACAAGTATTCGTGATAAATATATTGCCCGACATGCATTGCAGACAATGAACAATGTATAGGAAAAATTTGAAAACTAATGAATGCTGTTTATTGCCCATTTCTAAACCACATTATAATGTGGTCGTATATTGTCGTCGCCCTTGTCCGTTCGTCCGTCCGTCGGTCCGTCCGTCCACAATTGGCCTTTGAACACAATAAAGGCTACAGTTTTTATCTGATTTTAATGAAATTTGATGTGATCATTTATATTCATGAGATCTTGGTTCGAATTTGAAGATTTTTCGAAGAACGGTTTTTGAAATATTGCCCCTGAAGTAGGAAAAACGCGTCAAAATTTGTTTGTGAACACAATAGAGACTACAGGTTTCATCCGATTTAAATGAAATTTAGTGTGATCATTTATCATGATGAGATCTTGGTCAAGTTCGAATTTGACAATATTTCGATGAATGGTTTTTGAGTTATCGCCCTTGACTTACTGAAAACGCGTAAAAATTTATGTATTTGTGAATACTATAGAGACTACAGTTTTCATTTGATTTTAATGAAATTTTGTGTGATCATCTCTTACAATGACATATTGGTCAAGTTTGAATTTGACGAATTTTCCATGAACGGAATTTGAGTTATTGCCCTCGACTTAGTTAAAATGCATCAAAATTTATTGACAAGTTTTTATGAAATTTTATGTCTTTGATTAAATCAACAATATCTTGTACAAATTATATGTTTGGTACCATTTGACTTAGATTGGCGACTGCCTTTGATATACAAAAAATTAATCAGGGGGCGTATCTTGCTTGGCAACCATTTGTTTTCTGTTGACAGAATGCAAGATCAAAGTCATGTCAAAGAAAATTGTACTGAAGCTCCATCCTCAACCGAACCACACAAAACTTATATGTATTTAGTCGATTACTAGAATCGATTTACTTACAATATTCATCAAAGTCATGACATACAGTTTGACTTTTGACTTGCCAACCACAGAAGTAACTGTCGTATCAACAGCTATAAATGCTTCTACGTATTTGGTTTTTCTTGTAGATCGTTTAGCTCTGAATTTCTGGAGTCTGGATTTTTCTGATTTTATTGCTTGATGAAAATAACAAAAAGAAACAGCCCATATTATATTAAAAAAAAATTTAGAATTATGCTTGTAAGATTATTGAAAATGTGGACAGCGTTAAACCTCAAGTGAAGTTGACAAACAGTCAAAAGCTAAATGTTTCTACCTGTAATAAGTGAAGAGTCGGGGATGGTATCGTCGTGAAGATTGGTTGATTGTCTGGAACAAGTATATATCACATGAGCCTGTAATCCTGTTTTTTCATTGGTTAAGCCTGCTTTTTCTATAAATAGCATTTCATCCGGGGTCTGTATGTAACCTGCCTGAAAGGAAGAAAAACTTAACAGACAGTAAAACATATGGCTATCAGAAATCAGAATAGATAGAAATTCCGAATTCTGACAATAAGAAAAGTATGCCCTACCAGCTGTCTACACAACTATATCTTTCAAGCTACAACTTGATAATTAGATAAACTACACTTCTTTTAACTACAAATATTAGGAAGACAGATCCCTTTCAAATTCAATACAGTATTTAGAAGCATTTATCCCATTAAACTACAGATGGATATCTAGTGATCTGTATCCCTTTGACTTCCATAAATATATAAAAAAAACGAAAGCCTTTTGATTAACGAACGAATATATTGAGGATGCTAATCTTTCAACCAACCTTATCAAATATTTAGAGAACTATACCCCTTTAACCTATGATTGAAGAGTACTGTAACCCTTAAATCTGTTACTGTCAGAGCAGTCTGAACATAGTATCTGCCCTGCAAACAACATCGTAAAAGACGTTACATCAATTTTAAATTGAAATATTAAGATATTTTCTCTGAAAAACAGTTTTATTATGGCTACCTGTTTTTCTCGGCCTCATCACCCAGGCAATTAGTTCAAGATGAAAGGAGGAGAACTAATCATATTAATTAAATGTTTAATGAAGGGGGTAAAAAGATAAGAAGGAAAATAAAAAACACATGTTGAGTACTCAAAACATTGGTTTACTCTTTACAGATTTCGTTGAAAATACGAAATGTGGGATTGCCAGATCAACATTTGAAATATAGAATGAGTTTAGTCATCAGAGAAAGATTTTATAAATAAAACATATTTGGTTAGCACAACCCACAAAAAACATTCCATGCAACGCTTCAGGATCGGTACCATAAACATTATTTCCGAAATTACGAAATTTACGAAAAACTATCGTTGCAATGCCATTGAGCAGACCATAACATAGACTACTGACGCATTGTCAAATTGGTCTCATCATAAGCAGATTTGAACATCAATTAGCTTAATCTTGAATTATGTTATCTGTTCTTGGTAAAATCTGTAGGTTCCTTTAACAAAAAGAAGGAATTTATTAAATTGAGTGATGGGTCGACGGTTGAATTCATCCTAATTTGTCAGTTACATTCGTTGTGTCCAAATTGCAAATCCTATTTTCAAATTTTTGAATTTATAATCAGATATTCAGATGCCGTTTGAGATGTATTGGTGGGCTTTAAAAACCAAAAGACACCTGTTTTTTTAGATTTACAGTACCCCAGATGTTGTGAAACATCATAGTAAGTAAGTCATAAAGTTTTTCTCCTTAATATACTTGACAAATCAACATAGTGAAGCGACTTTTTCTTGAACCAAAACGGCACTAGGTATGTCAACTGAGATAACTACCCTACCGTCTGTAAGCTGACATATATTCGGCGATTCCAAACTGTGTTAATGTGTAAAACAAATATTTCTACTTTATGTTATTGAGAATATTAACATAGTCTACGAGGGTCTGATAATGTCATCTTCGCCATATAAGCCATGATACCATCCTTTTACCACAGTGTGATTAACTGCAGTTCTCGTCGCATACTAATAAACTGAGAGTCATATTTAACCTATACTTGGCATTGAAAATTATTGTGATTCATCAACCTCTGTTGAGATAGCCATTTACAGACAAAGATTGATGATTTGCAGCGCTAATATGAGAGGGAATATGTAAATTTTGTAATGTTGGTTAAAATGATGCACCTGTTTTGACATTTTTCTTTCCGTTTCAGTTTATTACAAGATAATGAATTTTCATGAAGTGTTGTAATGATCAAGAAAAACCGACTCGCCTCGGTCCGAAAATTATTTTATGTACTAAATTTACTTTACTTTCTCTTTAAATGCACAAACCATTGTACCAATGATAATGTTTTGTGTCACAGTGACATAATAAATTACAACCAGGATTTTTTAGTTCAAATCTCAATGATGTCTAGACCACATACATTACCATACACATAGTAGAACGATATTTTAGAAACGTAATCCGTGACAAAATTGCACAAAAAATCTCGGTCATTTTAAAAACATCAGTCGATACAATTGAACTTAGAGTGTTGCATAGAAATGAATTAATCCTAATTTGATGTAAAGTGGTTTTTTATGTGTATTGAGGAAACAGTTTCTGTAAATTTGCACCATTTCAATTTTCAATCAGACGTCTGTGGCTCTTACAATTCTACAAAACTATACCTTTTATAACTAACGACCGCTTTTATCAATCAGAGAGTATAGAATAGATGCTATCTGCTTATATAAAGACCTTTGCGATAGTGACGTCTCAAACCGTTTATCATTAGTAGAACTGCGAGAACCGCAGACGTCCGATTGAAAATGGTGCAAATTGATGCTATTACTGTTCCTGTTGCACATTTATAAAAATCTAGAAAATAACTTTTAGCAAGCAGATCGCTAAAAGGACAGACTATGAAACTAGATTCGCCAAAATGAATAATGTAAATAATGAAATTAATAATTAATACTTACAACTCCGCCACATATTCCAAGCGCCGCATGAGATGGAAATTTATTTCTCACATATCCCTGATAAAAACATTTATCTTCTAAATGTTGAGAAAAAGTTATATTATTTTCATCCCATTCCTGAGAAGCTGTACTTCCAACTAAATGAGTCTGTAGCAAAGCTATATTTATGATTTTTCTCCGCCATTTTAAACTAATATGTAGATGCTGTGGTATTTTTGATGATGTGTTTTCGTCTGGCAAACGTGATTTTGGTAAAATGGCACCTCTTGTGTCCGTAAGATAAGGAAAAGTGACCTCCCATCTCGTGAGTTTACAGTCAGACTTGAATAAAGAACCTGGAAAGACAACAAAATGGTTCCTTACTAGTGAAT